TCTGAAAAGCGAGTAGGTGTTTCTTGCTTTCAGTACATTTTTTAAAATGAAGCTTTATATGAAAGACAATATTTATGTCTGTACCAAGTAATGGCTCCTATGTCAGAGAGGCAAACTTTGAAAATGTTGCTTTAAAAGATGAAATGCAAAGCAATTTCCTTTTTCTTTTCTTTCTCTGCGGTTGTTATGTTAAGAAAAGGTGAACAGGACAGATATCAGGAGGTGCTTCCTGTTTGTGCAAACAGATGGCGAGTTGGCATTAACCATATATATGAGATAACATTATCAAAATATCTTAACCACATGCATCACTTTCAAGAGGACTTTTATAAAGCATTTTATGTCATTTCTTTTTAAATTATTCCAATTAAAATAGGTGAGGTTGTGACAGCTACTTAACTGGATATTTGCTAATTGTCCATAATACAGCATTTTCAATTGTCAAGCCTTGGATAAGAAATGTTTTTGCGAAATACGCCAAGGAGCTGGTACATATATGGGAACCAGGTAGAGCTGCCTTTTCAAAAAAAAAAAGGAAGGAGGTTGCTTGAAAAGAAATTGCGGAGCTCAGGTTTTAGTAAGCTGTACAGAGACGTTTGCTCTCTCTAGACTGGTATGTATATCTCTTCCTTATTCTGTAGGAAAGGAGGATACTCCTTTCCTTGTAAACAGTATTGTCCCAGACATCATTTAAAAAAAAAATAAAAAACAACAACCTGAACCAAAAAAAGACATCAAGGATGTGACCTCATAAGGCACAACTTCAGTACGTAGCACTCTGGCAGCTATCCAAGAAGTCATCAATATGGCATTTCCTTACAACTTTTTCTGCGATGAAGATGAAGAGCCGCCATTTCCCCATCCCATTAATCCAGTCCATTCTTAAATCTCATTCTTCGGTCATCTAAACTTGTGACTGGTTTGCCGTCTTCCCGTAACAGAAGTTCCAGCATCACCAGTGTTCTCCTAATCCTAACTTCTAGTAGTGATTTATCAGAGACCAATAAAAAGGTCTTCTTGGTATTTTTGTCTCCTATCAGGCAGTAACAAAGCACCCTGGTGCCAGGGTTCAAATGTTTCTAAAGTGCATAAATATTGTTTGCTGATTCCGCAGAAGGGACTCTCAGATGCTTTAGAAGTACCCCTTAAATAAATAGATTAGATTGGATATCTTCATGTGAAATCTTCCTGACTTCTTGCAGCATGAGTGTGTTAGCACAGTCCAAACCCACTGTAATACGGAAGTCATCATGACATTATGAAGGTGAGGTCTGCAAAATAATTTCTGTGAGGCAAGCCGAGCATTGGTCCGGAAGTCTCTTTCTGCACATTTTTTTAACTGGAATTTGCAATCTTCACTTAAATTAAGATGTGTTGCTGTTTGCTTGGGGTCAGATTAAAATTCACAAATTAAAATTAATTCGGCTGTGACAGTTAAGCTTGTCTGAAAGTCTTTACGCAGTCACCATCCACACTGGAAATCCATGGCCTTGATATGCATCTTCTGTGGATCTGAGACATTAGTTGCACTTCCTAATTTTTTCCTTACCTTTACTCTATGGGATTGGCCCCAGTACCCATCCCATAGTTCCTGCTGTGGTTCCCTGAATCTCTGCTTTTTGAAACCTGACTTTGTTCATGTCCATCATGTAATTAGACGCAAGTCTGTGAAGGGAAACAGTTTTCTTGCAATCAAGATAAAGAAGCCTAATGTGCCTGGTTTTGCTGCAGTTTGTAAAGTGACACACAGATGTGGACCGTAATATTGGGATTCATCTTAAACATCAGTGTTCACATACCATTCCATCACAACTGGAATCCTTCACCCAGTTCTGGGCTCCCCACTTCAAGAGGCAAGGGAACTACTGTAGAGAGTCCAGTGTAGGGCAACAAAGGAGACTGAGGGCTTGGAGCATCTCCCTTATGAGGAAAAGCTGAGAGAGCTGGAATTCTTTAGCCTGGAGAAGAGAAGGCTGAAGGGAGACCTGATTAATGCTGACAAGTATCTCAAGGGAGGGTTGAAGGAGGAGGGAGCCAGACTCTTTTCAGTGGTTCCCAGTGAGAGGACGAGGGGCAGTGGGCACAAGTTGGAACATAAGAGGCTCCACTCAAATATGAGGAGAAACTTCTTCACAGTGAGGGTGCCAGAGCCCTGGAACAGGCTGCCCAGGGGGGTTGTGGAGTCCCCTTCTTTGGAGATCTTCAAGACCCGCCTGGTTGCAGTCCTGAGTAATGTGCTCTGGGCAATCCTGCTTTGGCAGGGGAGTTGGACTAGATGATCTCTAGAGGTCCCTTCCAACTCCAACAATTCTGTGACAATTCGATGACAATTAAGGGTTTCAGCCTTTAATTATTATCGCTGTGTGTTGGATATTCTTACATCATTCATATAGTTGAGAACTAATGGCTTTATCACAGTTTTCAAAAGTAATTAGAATATCCTGAGGGCAACTGAAAAAGCTATTTTCACAACTATTTTTGTCTTATGTGTCTAGTCTGTTATTCCTGGGAAAGGTTTAGTAGTCTTCACATGGAATTCTTCTGAATACATCAGTCTCTATCTATAGTTTACCAAGATATCTGCTGTAAATCTGCAAAACTCAGTAGCTGACTTAGTAAGGAAACTACATTTTTTTACTGAAAGTAATTAAATTTAAATGCATTGTAAGCATAGGGTATGGAGGTAGACAAGTCTCTTTGTAGTGCCATGTGACAGTGCACTGGGCAGAGAAGATGCAAAACCAAACTGGAATAGGCAGCTCTGCAGCGAAGCTGAGGGCACAGACAGAAAAGTACTTTATTTCAGTCTTGAGATACACTGGAATACTGCTAAATTAATTCATTTATTGTTGAATCTGTATTTCATAAACATTATTCTGTATGATTTCTGACAAAGAAATGTGTCATAGTCCTGTAAGCATTTTTCAATTCACCAATTTAACATGAATGACCCTTGGAAACATTATTTTCTCCCCATCAGTTTTTTTCAAAAGAACAAAAACAGGCAAAGCAGCATTAGCGCTTTGCTGAACTGTAGAACTTAGGAGATTTTTGGAAGTTCAAAGTTAATGAATTAAAGCTCACCATAATTCTGAGTTGGGGGAAATTATAGACAGGGAAGTACAGGGTGTGATTTTCCGAGACCACAGAGCGGTGGAATGGTGTCAGTAGAAGGTCTGAGATCCCGCTCTGGGTTTAAACTACAAACCAGTTCTCCTTTTTATTACGCTCCGCTGTTTGGCTAACGCAAGGCTTGTACAGCACCCTGTGGTCAAACGCCTCATGACTTTCACGCAAATGTTTTATACAGTGCACAAAAGAGAAAGGTAGATGCGTAATCATTTTTAAAAACTCAAAATCACTATGGGTGATTGCACTGCCCCCTGTGGTGTCTGGGCTGGTCGGGTGTCCTCTGGAGAGAAAGGAAGAAAACAAAGGAAAGGGCAGGAGAACTAAATAAATTTAAATTCTTTTTTTCTGGTCTAGGAGCAGGTTTAGTTGTTGCTGATCAGATTGAGCAGACAACATTTAATGCTCTAGGGGTACATAAAGGCAGGAAGAGCCCTCGCTGAGAGAGAAAAGAAAAAACTCTCTTCAAGAGGAAGGTCTTCTGAGAAACGACAGTATAGAACTAAAATAGAGCAAGTAGAGGAAGGAAGTCCATGTCCTATATATACAGAAAGGGAGGGGGGATCTTCTCCATAGTAACAGAGGGAGCAGGGGAGGAGGAAAAGGACAACACAAACTGCAAAAGATGTTTTAACAAATAGTATAGAAGAGAGAAATTTAGGGTTTGTTCTTCCTCTGTGGTTTTGGTGTGATACAAAATCCCTTAAAAAATGTTTGTGTAAGCTAATAAAATGAGGATGGATTATTTCTGGACAACTTTCTACCTTTATAATACTTTAGTATTTGTACTCATATTGTGAACATATTATCATTACAAGACTTGAATCTTGTCTGTTGAAGTTTCGGTTCTGTGATTTACACCATACATTACTGCTGTGTTTCTATATTACTACTATGTAGTTACAAAATGTTTTGGCACAGGAACATGGCCAGATTTTGCAATGGTGTCTAATACATTGAAGTTAGGTGAGGTGGTCGGCGTGTCTGTAGGAGTTGCACTGGTGTCACAGTAGTAATCACTTGTCTGAAAATAACAATCATAGAATCATAGAATGGTTTGGGTTGGAAGGGACCTTAAAGATCATGGAGTTCCAACCCCCCTGCCATGGGCAGGGACACCTCCCACTAGACCAGGTTGCTCCAAGCCCCATCCAGCCTGGCCTTGAACACCTCCAGGGACGAGGCATCCACAACTGCTCTGGGCAACCTGTTCCAGTGCCTCACCACCCCCGCGGAAAAGAATTTCTTCCTAATATCTAATCTAAATTTTCCCTCTTTCAGTTTTATGTCCCAATCCAGAACAATCCTGAGGGACACATTTCACATTAATGCTATGAACGTCTCTCGCTCAAGTGCTTCATTAGGATCAAGACATTAATTAACTCACACTGATCTAATAGAAAATTAAGGCTTCTGATCTCAAAGCTGTTTCCTGATGTGGTTTTGCTGATGTGCTGGGAATCCTTTTTTGCTTTGCCCCCCCCCCAACTTATGTCTCCCACTCTCTTTCCCTGGTGAACTCCAGCGTGGTCTTGCAAAGCACTTGCAGGACCCGCTGTTAGCAAATCCCTGTTAGCAGAGACAGCAGGGCCTTCAGCCTCAAAAATCTGGCACTCTAGTAAACCAAACCTTTTGCAATGGATGTGAAACATCCTTTCCTCCTTCTATCAGCACTCTTCCGTATAATTACTAATAAAGCCATAACCAGTCCCAATTTTGACTTCATAAAAGAACGCAGCGGTTTTTGTTGTCTAAAATAAAAGTATTTTACTGCAATGTTTGTCTTTGATATGAAGTGGAGTGGATGATCTTTTTGTTTAAAAGTATCTGTAGTTCTTTTTGCAAAGACTGACAGCAGTGTCTGGTTTCAGGGTGGGATGATTAACTGGAATAGACTGTTTCCTCCTTTACGTCATAGACACAATGCCAACTATCAAGATCATCGCCCGTCTGAACAAGACACACCTCCACCTACCGAGGTTTCTGAAGAGCAGGTAAACATTTTTCTATTGTAAAATGGCATTTAAAAACTGGTTAGGAATTACCTCTACTATTTATTTTTTTTTTTATCATCTGTTGACACAATTTCTTAAGCGTTCTCTGTAGTAGCATAAATGAGAATATCAGGTAACAGTCACAATACAGAGACAGCGAACTGTCGTTGCCATCCGAACCAGAGTTATAAATCAGCTTGGGACTTTCTGTTTTTATGTGTAACTGCCTTTTGTATTTGAAGAGGATAAAGTTTCACTAGTGAGGCATATTCAGATCTGATAAATGTTTCAAAGAAGGAAAAATGACAAATAGATGTCATTGTAGACATGCAAGTTTTCCTTCACTGAAGTATCCAGCTTAAGTTTCCGATTCAGTCATGTAGTTTTTTTGGAAATAAGAACGTTACGCCAGCTGTGGGCTGTAACACACACTTTGTGTAAAACTTGAATGTTTCCCTCGATAATGGGGTTGACTGATTTCACATACTGATGCCACAGAGAAGGCTCTGTCTTTTCTACCAAGGATAGATTTAGACTTACTGTATAAATTTAGTCTGTGAGATTGTTGTTGATAGTTTTATTCTCAAAAGAGAGGATGATTTACTAGGGAATTTTAAGGTTGGGGTTTTTTTCTGTATTGTACAAGGGTAGGTTTCAAGGGTGAGTTTTTCTTTCCCTTTTTCTGGGAGATACCCTTGCTAGCGCCAGACTGTCATTACTAGTTAGTTTAAAGTGAGATCATCCCAAAGAGAAAACTTTGCTATCATCCAATTTCTAGTTTTAATTCAATCTTAGATTATGCTCAAAATGTTAAAGCTAGAAATCAAGTCATGGCTTTTTGCCTTTTTGGCCTGGTGATTTTGACTGCAAACCTGTTGGCTTACACAGGAAAAGGCAAAAAGAATGCCAGAGAACACCTTCTGAAGCAACACCCAGGAACTTAGTTTTGGCCCTCCTGAAGCAGTTTAACCTTAGTTTTGGCCTCAGTGCCAGGTACAGGGGGGACCAAAAGATTCCCCTGCTGGGTGGGTTTGTTTCTTTGTAGTGTTGACAGATTCTGCTTATGGACACTTTTATTGTTGGGCTGGAACTAATGAAATAGTTATTAGTCTGACAACGCTGGATTCTTACCCAAAGTCTTTAGGCAGAGGTTTATGAAAGCAATATATTGCTTATATTTTCTCATGCATTGCAGTTGTAGAGCTCACCTGATTGCTGTCATTTGCAATGCTGCCTAGTTACCCTGCAAAGAAAAATAACCTTTTATTTCTCAGGACTACACTAATAACTGCACAAGTTGTGTTAGAATGGCAGAAATGCAATGCTTCCTTCTGTTACTCAGATGAAAATTTGCAAGCGTTTGCAAGGCTTTTGGTACAAAAATCTCTGCATTTGTTGTGGGTTTTTTAGCACCCTAAATTACCGTTACCAGTATACATCTCTGTTTCCTGGAGCTGGATTCAGTTCCTGTGGTTAAAATATACTCAGATGAAAAGAGCTTTTTGTTGTTAGAATCTGGTCCCCACGATGCTCGCCGGGAACGTTACAATTCCATCCGCCACTTCTTCAGGTTAGAGTTCATGTCAGCTATGGTAATAAGCTTTCTTCTGAAATTTACTTCTGTGGTTAGCTTTTATTCCACTGCCTGCCCTTTTTCTCATAAAAAAACTCAGTCTTAGGTGAAAAATCAGACAGAGGAAACTTTAGAAAGTTACAGGTTATGAAATGCAGTTTGAAGTTGCACTATTGTTGCAGAGGCGTCGAAAGCAGCAATTCATTCCTCTCTTCTACAAGAAGGTGAGAAACAGACGTTGGGTTGTAAGGGGTGGGGGGAAAGAGGGAAATGATTGGTGGCGTATTGGATATTTTGGCAGCCAAGGCAGCTGTTTTCAAACCTTTTGTAACGGTGTGTTTAGATTAAGGGAATGAGCCACCCCCCCTGGCCCCGGGCATAGTTGGCAGTAGTGTATTTCTCAGTAAGCTGCTAAAGCAGAGAAGATTAAAAATACTGAAAGTTCTGGAGGTGTCTTAGAGGAAGGGGAGGTTTCTTTTAATGGTGCCTTTTTTTTTAAAGCATTTAAAGTACTTTCAGTACTAGTGCATGTTGCTCTTGCACCTTGGGAAGAGTCTTCCCGAGATGTAGATGGCCTCTGCTGCGTTCCTGCTCAGCTGCATCCTGCTGCCACCACAGATTCCATACAGAAGAAGGAGGAGCAGCAGTAACTCCCAGAGAGTTCCCGTAGTCCAGAATTTCCAGGTTCAGCAGTTGTGGTTTCTGGTCACAAGTGATCACAAGCCATTTTGGAGCAGGATGGGGAACGCTTGATGCTGCCGGTGGCCACGGTTAATTTTACCTGCTGCTCTCTGCTGCCCCCCATCCCCTTGTTTTTCCCCTCTCTGCAAGATTAACTATAAAAGTGAATGAATGACTTTCAGTCATATGTAATTGAGAATTGTAGGTGTTAAATGTACTTAAGATTAGACTTAACCAATTCAAATTATATTTGGTTATACCTACATTGCTTTTTACATGTGGTGATGTGAGTTCCAGTTAGCAGAGGAAAAAGCTTAGGTGTCGAGTACCAAATATTATGAAGAGGGATGGTCAAGTGGTTATGGATTACCAAAATCACTGGCTTAATATGCCCCTTTCCAGGCAATTCTTCCATCAAATGTCATTGAGAATATTTAGATTGTAGTTGTCGTGTGTGTGGTGCCACACTTTCCATTTTACCCTTTTACCCAAACTGGGCCGGCAAGAAAAATGCAGGTGTGGCATTTTCAGCAAACTACTACGTTTGAATTGATTTCTTACATTTCATTCAAACTTAACTTTTGAATAAACTATCAGAAAGCAGTCATCTCTGCCTGTGGCAATGTTTTCAAGCATGCTGTCCCAGGTACGTCATCATAGAATCATAGAATCATTGAGGTTGGAAGAGACCCTTGGGATCATCGAGTCCTACCATCTACCCTACTCTACAAAGTCCTCCCCTACACCATATCCCTCAGTACTGCATCTAAACGTCCCTTAAACACAGCCAGGGATGGTGACTCCACCACCTCCCCGGGCAGCCTGTTCCAATGCCCGACCACTCTTTCAGTGAAAAATTCCTTCCTAATGTTCAATCTAAACCTACCCTGTTGGAGCTTGAAGCCATTCCCTCTCGTTCTATTGTTAATTACCTGTGAGAAGAGACCAGCACCAACCTCTCTACAGTGTCCTTTCACGAAGTTGTAGAGAGTGATGAGGTCTCCCGTTTGACAGTGCGTAGCCATGCTTGCTTGTTCTCTGGAAAGGTACGATTTTGAACAGCCTAATCAGTGGGAAAGTGATCTCTGCCACTATTAATATCACTAATGCACAGACAGCGTGAATAAAACTCTGGTTTTAAAGCGGTGTTATTTCTTTTCCAGGTTGCGCGACTTATGGAAATGGGCTTTTCCAGGGGAGATGCCCTAGAAGCTCTGAGGGCTTCCAATAATGACTTAAACGTAGCCACTAATTTTCTACTGCAGCACTGATGGGTTTTCTGCGGGAAGGAACTCCGCTCGCCGGGTTTGTACACATCCTGAAAGGGGATCAAAGCCACCTGCTGGACAGACTCACCAAGGTCGTCCCCGCAAGAGCCTCAGAAGAGAGAAACCGGCTCCGCGTGACGGGTGACTCAAAGCGATGTTAACGAATGACGTGAGCTGTTCCCAAGCCTGCACATCACTGGGCGGTTTCTCATCTGGTTATCCTTTTCAAAGTAACTTTAGTTTCTACTTATTACTGGATATCGCCTAAATTTATTTTTAAAAAATAAGTAGGTGGTTTTTTTTTTTCTTGTAAATCCTTGTTAGACATGTTATCAGACTTAATGAACTAGGAAAAAGAAGCTCCAACTACCACAATGACTAGATTTACCTGTCAAGAAAAATCACATTTTTCTTCATTTACCAGTCTAATTTCTCTAGCTTACATGTTATTTTACAGTACTTGATTTTTGATTGCAGTAATAAGAGGTTTGAAGATCACTTCATTTTCAACCCCGTAAAGGTTTATGGGACGATTATGTCATTCTGCAGAAAGTTTTATTGATGCTTGTCATATTTTATTTCTTGAATTCCTTTTTCAATAAAAGTTGGCATTCAGCACATAATCTGCAGATAGGGTGTGAGAAAATTCATGTGCGTATTTGCAAGCTATGGTAAGTGACCACTGTAAATTTAAAATATTTACAAAGTGAGTGAATTGCTGTTCAGGTCATGAAGATACTCACTGGAAGCAATAAAGGTGAATCGAACGATACAATAAGATCAGAACTGAAATGGTTTGAGCCACTTCCCTGTCTAATTGAGACAGACTTGTGTAACGAGGGATGTATGCTCAGTGTCCTATGTGCTGGTTTCATTTTTTGAGCTGGCTACATACTGTCTTAAATGAAAATGATTAAAAAAAGGTAACTTTTCTATATATAGTTCTAGTTTTCTACTGTCAAAGATGTGGATGACCCTGCATTTGCTGAATCCTCGCTCTCTGAAGCAACTTACTGTTGGTCACAGACTGGAATATTAACTTAAAGGGTGATTCAGGCTAAAACAGGAGGTAACAGGACAATAATGCCAAGGTAATACGATATTGATTGTGAAGTTTAGATTGATAAACAAACTTACTTGGCTTGACTCTCAGAAGTTCTCAGTATTAGCACCTTAGGAGTTTCGGGAGGTGGAGTGGAGAGAGGTGAACATCTCTATAAAACCAGGGTGAAGTGATACAGGATTCCAAACTGTGACTCCATGAAACTGATCTACACATGTATCTCAAGCATTTAATCTCTGTTTCTGTATGTACTTTTTTTTTTGTACATTGTGTGAATGTATGTGTCTATTTATATACACACAGGCATATTTAATGCATATATTTAGAATAAGATATAGATCATCAGAAGCATAACGAAGGCCATAGCAAGTGCAAAGGGAAGGAGATGAAAGAATACAGAGGAGCAAAGGGTGTTTTGAACATCCAAACAAACCTGTGTGTACCAAAGTACTGACCTGCAGAGTCTCACTTGGCCTGGAAATTTTACTGGGAAATTACAGGACAAGATTTAGGGAGAGAGAGATACCTTCTTCTGTTCCTTTTTTTTTTTTTTTTTAATTGACTGATAAAAAAATTCTTCAGGCATTCAGGTCCTTATCCAGAAATTACGTAAAATTTGTGCAGCTTTCAACATATGACATCATTTTTAATAAAGTCAATGTCCTGTATGTATTTTTTAGTGTTTTCCAGTGGGTGAATAAGTGGGTTTTGGAATGACCGTTTGTTTTCCTGGGCTTTGATCAACCTCGTCCAGGGTTTGGTTTGCTGCTGTGATTATGTTATTTGGGCAGGGTCTGCTTTTGAAGTGAAAGGTTTTGTTTGTGTGAAGCTGAGTGGCTCTGTGTGTGTGTGTGTGTGTGTGTAGGCTGGAGACGTTTCTGTACCCAGAGAACTCTGGAAACCTGCTGTCTTACAAAGGGAAGGGCAAATGTAAGGAAAAAAAAAAAAAAGCCCTACAATAATTTGTATATGTAAACTAATTAAATGTTTTGAAACAAGTACAGATTTTTAATTTTGAAACATACAGATTCTTCCTTCACAAGTATTTTGTCAGAAGTAGCAATAAAGACCAGTGAATTACTTCAGAAGTCAAATTTTGTCTGTAGGAAATAGAAGTCCACCGAGCCCAAGGTAAATTAAAGATGACCTCTGCCCTTTCAGATGTTGCCCTGCTCCAGGGGCAAGCACGAAGAACAGTTATTCCATGGAATTTTAAAACATGTGGAGTGGCATCCGGGACATGTAAGTAGATGTTCTCCAAGTCTAAAACCTTTCTTACTGTTAGCTGCACAAGGGGCATCCAAATGTCACAGTTGTTTGGAAAACCCCATTTTGCTGGGCATTTCACAAAACGTGGTCAAACATAAGGGGTAAAACTCAGGTCATGATGTCAGTTGAAAACTCCCCTTGACATCTGTGGGAACAGTCTGTGCTCAGAATGCTCCCAGGGTTGTGATTTCCAATTTAAAAAAAAAAAAAAAAGAAAAAAAAAGAAGTGGTAAAAGGAGGGGTCTCGGATGCTGTTGAACACAGTTCCTGTTTCATGCAAGAACCGTAGAAGAAAAGATTCACATGTCGGAGCTGGAAAAAAATTTGGTTTCCACTTGATGGTGAAACTTTCACGATGGAGCGTTTCTGGGAATGTGAGGAGCATGTTTTTCACAGCCTACACGGTGTTTGTCCAATAGGGTATTGAGTATCTCATCACACAGTTTCTATATCATGTGTGTCCCAGTGATATTTTTTTAGGCAGTGAGAGAATGCAGAATGCTTTTCTACGGAAGAGGATTTTGAGCACCTGGGGAATTCACGCTGGTTTCAGTAAAGGCAAGATTTGGTGTTTTCAAATAAAAATAGTTGCTGCTGTTAAATTTTGTCTGCTGGACTGGGAATGTTGTCTTTTGAGACAACGTCGGAGTAATTTATTGGGGACTTTCCTAGACGGTTATGTGATACTTTGAAATACACCCACAGCGAGGTTTGTATTTGTGGAAACCTGCCTGAGAAGCCACCAGGTTCTCGAGCATTATATTTTTGCTAAGATGCAGAAATGCTTGGTTTTGGTATGTAGGGCGCTCGTTTTCCTCTCCCAAAGCAAGTGTCAAAGGTTGGCTGCTGCTTGTGTGAGGACGCGGGCTGTCACCGTTGGTTTGGGTACCAGCCCGTGCCATCGTAACGCTCCTCGGTGCCTTTGTGAACGTGGGATGGAGAAAAGGTCTCGTTAATTTTCTCTGAAGAAGAACAAGCACGCAAAACCTGTTGCAAGGTACTGGGTGAATGGTAATGTTTGGCTCCTGTTTGTGCACATATATATATATATACACAGAGTGAGTGAGAATGTTTATGTATTGGTTTGATGAGTTTAACTGGAGCTCAGAGTCTGTTGAAGAAAATTAAAGGTCTGTATTCAAAGACTCCCATCTCTCAAACCTGTGTGCATTTGGAGTCTATAGGCGGTTGCAAAGGCACCCAAATTTGAGAACGCTCTGAAAAAACTACAGCTGCCACATTGCAGGGGAGGATAACTAAATGCCCAGTGCAAATTTGAACTAATAGGGGGGTTTGATAGATGAGTGCAATTAATTTTCTGTGTGTGTGTGTGTTCTTCCAGATGATAAACCTAAGTGAGATCAGCTGCCTTTAACTGGGTAGCCATAATACTAAGTATTTTATATAAATAAGTATAAATACTGTTTTGTTATGAGAGTCACATGAACACACAAGCACTGTATGCACACATATGCATATTTTAATATATACACATGTGATTATTTAAAACATACTTGGTTTGGTTTAATTCTTGGCAGGATTACCTTCCTCCTGGTTCCATGTACAAAGGGATGCTTTGACCACAGGAAGTGCACTCTTAATTGAAAGAGATACGTGCCACGTATGCACACATATGCATATTTTAATATATATACATGGGCTTATTTAAAACACACTTGGTTTGGTTTAATTATTGGTAGGATTACCTTCCTCCTGGTTCTATATACAAAGGGATGCTTTGACCGCAGGAAGTGCACTCTTAATTGAAAGGGGTACGTGCCACCACAGAATGAGATGGGGTTGGAAGGGACCTCTGGAGATCATCTAGTCCAACCCCCCTGCCAAAGCAGGTCCACCTAGAGCAGGTTGCACCAATTGTTTTCAGTCCAAATAGAAGACAAGGAGCCGATGTTGGGGGTGGAGGACGGATGGGTGCGACTGGTGAGAATCTCAGCAAATAAGTTGGTCGGATGTTATTTGATTTTTTGAAAAAGAGAGTTTTAGAGGAAACAAGAAGTTGGCTGGGCTCATGCGTGTTCATAGGGAACTGTTTCCAAACCTGAACGGTAACGTTGGAGAAAGCAGGAATATAAGTAGTTTGTGTGAAAAATTCCGGGATGGTGGCTGAACCGAAAGCAGAATTTGGCCTTTTGACCAGAGACGAGTAGAGACCGTAAATGTCAGATTAGCAAAGGAAAGGACTTCAGGGAGGTGAAACTGAGTGGAATAAAGGGTTTAGAGAAAAGGGGCAAAGCAGAAGATAGACTGCAGAGGCCAGAAAGAGAAGACCTAATGATGGAAAGGGGGGTGGGATGTCACCGTGCGCTCCGCTCGGTTTTGAAAGAACTCAAGAGAGATTGACCAGAGACGAGTAGAGACCGTAAATGTCAGATTAGCAAAGGAGAGGGCTTCAGGGAGGTGAAACTGAGTGGAATAAAGGGTTTAGAGAAAAGGGGCAAAGCAGAAGATAGACTGCAGAGGCCAGAAAGAGAAGACCTAATGACGGAAGGGGGGGTGGGATGTCACCGTGCGTTCTGCTCGGTTTTGAGAGAACTCAGAGAGCTCCTGTGCAGAAAATGCAAATACCCAATATTGCGGCTGATCTCGTAGTGAAACTCCGCTCTCTTTTCAGGGGAGTCCTTCCATGTTGTTGGTTTTGTATGACAGGACGTGTAAGCGCGAGGGAAGACGCTGCAACCCTGAGCCACTCGGCGGTGAAGCAAACCCTGGAGTCACCACAGAAGGTGAGAAAGCAGATGTTGCCAGTTTTCAAAGCGCAGTTGAGTGCTGCCGACCCCACTCTTCTCCTGGCACCCCATCCCAGCTGCTGAGAGACCTGCTCCGGAAAGGAGACGGGTCCCACCACTCTCCCCACTCCAGGTTACGTATAAGTCCCCCCGTGCCGTGAGAGCACACCACCTTCCTGGGAAAACGAGCGTCCCGCGTAGAGGGGGTGGAAGGAGACCTCGTGCTTGCCCCTCGCCGCTTCTGAGCGTTGGCTTTGCTTGGGGGGGAGAGGAGAAGAGTCGCCCACGTTACCTGGCCCGAACAATCACACCGGGGCTTGTTACTTGGCGGTGAGTAGCTTTTATTTGAAGTGGATGTGTGCATTTTTACATGACAATATTTTACTGGCTTTACAAAGGTGGATGTCGCGACGTGCGGTAGCATTAACTCCAGACCATTTAAAGCACAGACCGAAGAAGTGGGGGGGGGTTTACTAACAGGTGGTGTCCAACTGCAGCCAGGAGCTGTTGTCCCCCAAGAAATTTATGCTTTTAGCTGGAAAGCATGAAGTTTGGAAGCACGGCTAAGGGGAAAAAGGCAGTGCCGTTTGAGGTCCGTGTGCTTATTTGCCATCAAGGTATGGCTCATTGTCGTTTTGGTACCATCAGAAGGGCAGGTGATGACCTGTCTGCTGGCTGCACTCCATTGGATTGCATGAGCTAATCACCCTTCTGCAGAAGTTCAGGAGAAACCTGAATTACGCTGTGTTGGGGGTTGTGGTTGGCTCACGAGGGGTGGCTACAAGGGTCACAGCGTGAGTTTGCCAAGGAAATCTCAGTTTGCACCCCGTAGGTATGTAATCCGTACGCAGGAATGGTAGTAGTGTGTGACCACAAAAAGCGTAACAACTCGCTGCCCTTAGATAAAAATGCAGTTTTCCCTTCTTAGAAGACGGTGTGGCAATAGGCTGCGGTCTGGGGTGAAGTAAGAAACACCTGCGTGCTGTGCAATAATAACTCTCTACGTGAAAGTCATCAGGGATCCATCCATCCATCCATCCCAGCGTGCTGCCCTGTGCTTGCCATGTGCTTCACAACCGTCCTCCACGTTCCTGCCTGGCAGGAGACACGTTGTGGGAAGCACCAGCTGCATTGAGTATATATTATTTTTTTTTTTCTTCCGTGGGTGAGTTTTTAACCCTGAGTAAAGGTTTCTACTCCCTCTTTTGGCAGGAACTGGCGTTGCCCCTGTCCTCTCTGCAGAGCCGTGCTGGGGAGGCTGCACCGAGGCCCCGTTTATGTGTGTGTTATGTATATACTCCTCCTTATAGGGTCACAGAATCATAGAATGGTTTGGGTTGGAAGGGACCTTAAGGATCATCGAGTTCCAACCCCCCTGCCGTGGGCAGGGACACCTCCCACTAGACCAGGTTGCTCAAAGCCCCATCCAGCCTGGTCTTGAACACCTCCAGGGATGGGGCATCCACGACCTCCCTGGGCAACCTGTTCCAGTGCCTCACCCCCCTCACTGTAAAGAATTTCTTTCTAGTATCTAATCTAAATCTCCCCTCTTCCAGTTTAAAATCCTTACCCCTTGTCCTATCCCTACACTTCCTGACAAAGGGTCCCTCTCCGGTTCTTCTGTGGGCTTCCTTCAGATATTGGAAGGCTGCTCTAAGGTGTCCCCGGAGCCTTCTCTTCTCCAGACTGAACAACCCCAGCTCTCTCAGCCTGTCCTCATAGGAGAAGAAGAAGAAACTTAGGAGGGGAAGACAAGTTTTCCTGACAGCTTTCCTTTTCCTGAGGAGGCTTCCTGACAGCTTTGCCTTTGCCTCTGCCATAGGCTTCAGCCTGGCAAAACATATCTACGGCTTGGCTTGAGAAGGAGGGTTGGCCACCGCTGGAGACCTGTTCTCTGGTGTTTGTGTAGAGGCTCACTGAGACCCATAGCTACGTACCACTGCTCTCCTGGGAGCCCCCGAACCACCACAGTCATACAGAAATGTGAATTACAAGGATGACAGAGCCAAGCTCTTAGCAGAAGTGGGTGATGTAAGGGGTGACAGCCACCAGCTGAGGATGGAGAGGTTCAGACGAGACACAGGGTCAAATATTTTCATCTGACTGGAACTGTCACCTCGATGGGGGGAAGCCTCCTTGCCTGGAGTTTCCAAGCCTCAGCTAGACAAAGCCATGGGCAGCCTGACATCATGCCAGCTGTGGTCCTGCTTTGAACAGGCTGTCGGGTGAAGTGATGCAGAGAGCTCCCTTCCAGCCGACGCTTCTTTGACAAATTAACAGTGCACCAGGACTGTTCAGCAGCTCAGCCAGGCTCCTTTAGGGTGTTGAGACCACTGATATCCTTATATTATCGCGTGCCAGCTCTTCCTTCTCCATTGTAACATGCTTTTTAGGACACAGGCTCTCTTCAGGCCGGTGCTGAGGTTAGACCTGCTTTGAGGAAGGCTCAGATAACCTCCTGAAAGGTCCTCCTGGAGTCCCTTTCCCACCTGAATTAGGTAGCCGTCAGGGTGCTACAGTCACCCGTACCATGAGTAAAACCACCATAATCCGAAAGCTCATTCATGCACATTTAAACAAGCAAGGGCTGCCCGTGACACTATGTCCTGGAGTCCCTTTCCCACCTGAATTAGGCAGCCGTCAGGGTGCTACAGTCACCCCTACCATGAGTAAAACCAGCATCATCCAAAAGCTCATTCATGCACATTTAAACAAGCAAGAGCTGCCCGTAGTGTCACACTACGGTTGACTTTCTAGCCATAAAGAAGGGTTATTACCTTAACGAACGATTTGTCGTAATCAAAAGTGGCCATTCATGAAACGTCTTCAGTTTTACTTTTCAGCAAAATGAAGCTGCTTTTTTGTCCTCTCTTCATGTCTCTGTCCCTTCCAACCTCCAACACAGGTTGGAAGGAACTGCAAAATCCCACGTGTGGGTTTTTTTTATCGCAGCCCAGCGGCTTCGGAAAGGAGACAAGGAGGTCCCCGCTCTTGCTGACTTTCTCCTCATTGCACGGGCTCAAATGTTGATGGGAACCCAACGTCTTGGGGTTCCTCCTCTTGCTTTGGCCATCATCATGTGTAACTTGCCCTTAACAAGGCTCTTGGAGTCGTCAGGGCACCGGGTTCAAGCAAAGGTCAGTCGAGGTCATGTCAGGCCTCAGTCCTCATGGCCTTGTCCCCTTTCCTTCGCTCCCTTCAAGTTAAGGAGGGGTGGAAAGTTTCACCCTCGGGATGGGTTCACAACCTCACAGTGGAGCTGGGAGCCAGGCCAGCCCTGGTGTCCCCTTCCTGGCAGTGGGTCCCGGGGCGACCACAGGCCGGAGGGCACCCTGGAGAGGGAAGAAGCAGCAGATGCAGGCAGTGGTGCTCCCGGGAGCTCCACAAATTTACCTCCTGGCCCCTCTCCCTTGAAGAAGGGCTCTTCTGGCAGCTCCCACCCACCCCACGCAGGGCCTGGGTGCAGGAGTGGGACGCCGGGCACGGGGAAAGCAGAGCTGCCGTGTGGTGGTGCAAGGGTGGATGGATGGATCTGCAGGCAACTTTCCACATGCAAGTAGTGTCCCCAGCCTGTTCCTGAAACACCCTGAGTCCGTGCACTCCACGCTGGCCACCCCGAGTCCCACAGGGGTGCTGCCCCGGGGCTGTGGGGGCAGTGCAGGGGACAGGGAGGCAGGGGTAGCCATGGTGGTTACCACCACAGGGGATGTGGGACAGACGTGGGAGGCCGGCACAGCGCAGGGCTGGAAAACCCCCAGCAGCGTTTGCCAGCCGGAGCGGTTGCACGAGCTGCCTCTTCTGGGGTGGGGATGAAAATGGACCTCTCCATGCTCCAGATGGCAGGTCCAGCAGCGTTGAGCGTGGAGCCAGGCACGTGGAGCCAGGCAGGAATGTGTCCCGGTCGGGTTGGCTTTGTGAGAGCCCCCAGCTCCAAGCAGGAGAGTGATGAAGCCTCATTGGAGGTGCTGGTCCTGCCCTGCAGCCCAGCTCCAGCTCCTGCCATCGGGGATGGTCCGTGAGCTGCAGGCCAGAAGCAGAAGGGAGGAGGTTGCGCCACTAGACAGAGACAGAGCCAGGGGGCTGGCTGTTGCTGTTGCTCTCGGAAGGGGTCTTGGCAGTGGAAGAGGTGGCCATGGAGCCGCTGTTCCTGAAGATGCGGAGCAGCCTCCGCTTGTACCCCCGGAAGGCAAAGAAGTAGATGATGGGGTCAATGCAGCAGTTGAGGTTCATGAATGCCACGGTGACTTGCAGGGACATCTTGAAGGCTTGCTGCTCGCGGCAGGATGGCTGGTAGAGGATCTTCCTGACCATGAACTGGACGATGTTGAGGTGGTAGGGGCTGAAGCAGAGAAGGACGGCCAGCAGCACCACCAGGATGACAGTGAAAGCCCGGCGGTGGTGCCCGTTCTTCACAGTCAGCGGGTTCTCTTTGGCCGTCTGGCAAAGCTTGAGGTTGATCCTCACGTAACACACCAAGATGATGCCCACAGGCAGGAAGAAGCCGAGCACGCAGGCTCCCAGGAGCAGGTAGGGCAGTTTGGGAATCTCCTCAAAGTTGAAGTACTCCATGCACGTCAGCTTGTCCCCCATCCTCCGCGTCATGGGCCGCAGGAGCAGCGGCGCCGTCTGTAGGAACACCAAGGACCAGATGAGGATGCAGACGCCCCTGGCACGGCTCATCTTCCGGATCCTGCCGGGATGCCTGGTGCGCACCACGGCGATGTAGCGGTCCACGCTCACGCAGGTCATGAAGTAGATGCCCACGTAGGTGTTCATGTAGAAAATGAAGGCTGTGGCCCTGCAGAACCAGTCCCCGAAGGGCCAGTCAAACTCCAGGATGTAGTAGGCGATCCTGCCCGGCAGCGCCAGGGTGAAGAGGGCATCGGAGAGGGCCAGGTTGACCAGGTAGAGATCGGTGGAGTTGAGCTTCTTCTTCCTGCGCTGGAAGGTGATGCAGAGGGCCAGGACGTTCCCGCAGGCGCCGAACACCAGCAGGGCGGTGTAAAAGAGGGAGAAGGTGACTTTGGCGGAGAAGTGGTGGTTGTGCACGTTGCAGCTGCTCTGGTTGCTGGAGGTGAGGTTGGCGGGCGGGAACACGGCAACCTCCGCAACAGCCATTTCCGCGGCGCCACGCGAGCTCTTGCCTTCTCCCTTGGAGTGAGAACAGACATGAAACTGGCAGCTCATCCATGAGGGGAGCAGCACCCCCAGGCCCTGTGACAGGCCTGTCCCCTGCTCCCTGCCTACCCCCCCACCTGGCAGCAGCACCCAGTCATTTGGAAAAACGCATCTCTTGTGATTTCGGTGCCAGCCTCTCAACAAAGGCTGTGTGACTCATTGTCGTCTTCTTGTCACCAACTCCTCTTATTTTGGTGTTTTTTTGCAAGTCCCAACCAACACCAGAAAGGACAGGGGGCTGGGGAGGGGAATCACCCACTCGATGACAAACAAGGTCCCAAACTCATCCGGTGGCAGCGATGTCATTTATTCATCACTGCGGGGCCGGGGGGGGAGGGAGGGGGGAACAGGGAGCTTCATTGAGAAAATGCCCAGAAAGTGATGGGGCTGGG